ATGGACAAATAAAATGTGGCATATTGACTGCATAGAGATATAAAATGTACATGTATGCATATTTTTAAAAACAAATACAAAATAATCCTATATATTCTTGATGACTAAATACATATGTATGTAAAAATATTTAGTGACTTGAAAACCACCATAATGGGGGAGAGGGGAATTAAACTGAGGGTACAGTGAGAAAGGATGTGTAATGTTTTATTATAAAAACAAAAAGAACAGAAGAGAAGTAACTGGATAAAGTGTTAACAGTTGTGAGTTTGAAGTCGTAAATATATGTGTGTAATATTATTCTTTGTATTTGTTTATACCTTTTACATTTCTAAAAAGAATCAAATAAGGGTGTGTGTGAGAGAGAGAGAGAAGAAAGGATAGAAGTGCTAGAATGTAAAATCAATAAAACTTGGTGACTAATAACACACAGGGGCTGAGGGTAATGGAGGAAGGGGCTAATAGGACTCCCATGTTTTGGGCTTGAATGACAGGTGGGGGGAGATGATGAAACCATTCACTGAGATAAGAGATAGGGGAAGAGAGAACACCAAATTTGGGGGTTTGGGGAGCTAACATAATGAGTTTATATTTCAGACACATTGAGTCTGAGAACCCAGCAACAAACTTTTATGCTAACAAATTCCCTATCAGGCAACATAATGGCTGCCACATTGCCCACAAGAAGCATGCAGGAGCAGGGGTGTCAGTGGTGAGGTCCTGAGAAAGGCAGACAGAGAAGTGAGCAGAGGCTAATAGATAGTGGAGGCTAGCTGGCAAGGTCTTCGCTGAAAGCACTGAGCATAACAAGGTCTTCACTGAAAGCACTGAGCATAACAGCCAGCATAACTTTTCATCTAAAACCATTGGTCCTTTTTAAAATGAGATAGATAGATGTAAATACATAGAGATATCTGGAGAGTATGGCCATAAAAAGGCAAAAAGAGAGACAAGTTTTGCCCCCTACCCACCCCCCACCCCACCAGCTGGAGTGACCAAAGGAAGACCATCTCTTTCCCCCAAACAGCTTCTGCTGTTCAATACCACCAACACACGGAAGTGTGATACATGAATACAGGTGACCACACCCCACAGCAGGGCCACAGAAATACCTTTTACACCACCACCATAGAAAAAATATATACAACTGAAGAAGTAAACATATTGCAAAACAATACATACCCATATACTGTGTGCAGTGAATTCTCTTATTCCATTGTCTTTTTTTTTTTTTTTGGTCAATTTCAAAACCCTCCAATGGGTTGCTAACCAGGTGTGAAAAACACCTGACTACAGGCTGCTGGAATCCCTAAAACCAGTATTTCCTAAGTTTCTTATGTTTCAGATGTATGAGTACAGTCTATGCCTAACAGCACTGGGAGACAGATGACTCTAGAAGAAACTTGGGTATATTTAAATATTTTTAACTAATTATTATTTAGCTATTTGTTTTTACAGTTATCTTCCATTTTAGGAAAGTAATACTGATTTTCCACTTACAGAAATGATGTAAAGTTTTCCTCTAAAATAAATGTATTTAAGTTTTAAAAGTGATTTAAAGAAAAATATTAAGTAAATAATAGTATAGGAAATATTTAGATATGTCAAAAATCACAAATGTTTCCCATGCACCTAAAGTGCAGGAAACTACCTTACACCATTCCATAATACAATAACAAGAAACTCGGTTTCCTTGACATCAGATCTGCTTTCACAGTTTTATTAATTACTCTCAGGAAATTTAGGTTATATGACATTACCCCATATTATATTTGGCTTTTCCCCAGCAACCCCTTAAAACCAAGCTGGCGCTTCTTCCAAGCACTTTTTGGGCAGTTCTGAATGAGTCATCTGTTTGAAGAGTGATTTATGTGGATCTTGAGCCCTTGTGAGCTCACCTTCCCTTCTTGAGATCGTCACGTGGTCTTTCATTCTCCGCCAGGCTTTCAAGTTAATTATTTCCTGTTTCTCTGAATCTGTTCCTTAACCCCCTTCCCAGGCCACTGTCTATCCTCACCTCCACACACACAGCGGGCCACTGGCTGCTCAGCATTGAACCAGTCTTAGTCTCTTGACCTGCCCTAAAGCACCCTCCAACAAGAGCCTTGGAATTTATTCCACGGCACAGCAACCTCAGAGCAAAAATTTGTTGATACTGTAGAATTTGAAGTTAGTTTTAGAGTTCCCTGCTTTCTAGCAGCATTCTTTGTAACTTAACTGACCTTTTGTTCTCTTAGTCCCTGCCTGTCAAGATACTGTGTGAGCCAATCTGCCCAAGCTGTGTTTTTCTCTATGTGACTGCTCAGGATCTCTGGTATCAGTTGTACCTCACTCCTCTCAGAACTCTCACGTTGGGCTTGACTTTCCCAGCAAACTTGATCTGTTATTCATGTAACATTGTTTCTGCTGCTGTTCCATCCCTTTAGTCAAGGCCAGAGCCCACTCTTTTCCTATCATCTTTAACAACTCAGAGTGCTAAAGTGCTGAGCTGTACCCCATAGGAGCTTCATGCATAGAAGTCACTCCATTCCTGTGGTCTTTTCTTCCTCACCTCCATGCTCAGAAATCTTCCCAAACTAGCCTTTTATGGTTATCCAGCCTTAATTTCTCCCAATTATTTTTCCAGTCCTGGCTGGGGTTTCATTTTAGGTCTTTAATTCAGTCTTGCTTACAGTATTCATTGTCCTTTTCCTCCAGCCCCACCTCAATTTTTCTCCCCTCCTCTCATGTGCACACATCTGAGCTCCTTAACATCTTTTACCCAGTGCACAGTTTTCTGCCATCTATTTCTGACTCACTACAAATTAAAGCATAAAAAGCCCTTACAATAACAGTGTTAGTGTGGGTATTTGTGTGGGGGGGTACAAGTACACACTTAAAGTGGGAGAAGGGGTATAAACACAAAATAGAATGTCCAACACTACTTGGGGGGAAGAAGAGCCTTAGAGGCTCGCAGCCATTCTTGTTAGTATGTTGAACATATATCACCCTACAACCCAAATCTGTATCATTTTCAAACATGGCTTAAACAAAGAGCCTTGATGCTTATTGAGGATTTAGATAACTACTTCCCTGTTAAGAAGAGATTTTTAAAACTGTGTTTTCATTATGACTCCATCACCATTTATTGATCAAGGGATTTCTTGCCTCACTTACCTCCATAATCTGTTGCTCAGATTAAGAAAATGTGAAAACTATTGTTTGGTAGCGTGAATACAGACTTCAAAGTGATACCTTGGAGGCTGTATGACTCAAATGCTATAATCCAAGAAAAGCAACTAATTGATCATGCAGAACATGTTTTTATGCATTACTATCTATGGACTGAGCATGCAATGAAACAAATCGTATTAAATGTTTTGTAGATGTGCTCTGTTACAGAAGCAGGAAATTCCTAGTGTAGAAACATCCAACAGACAGCACTAAATCAAGAAATAGGAAATAATACATGTAAAAAGCCCTTAATAAACAAATGTATGAGTAAGTCATTATTCATTCAACACATCTTGAGCAACTATTACGTTCTTTTTATGTAAGGAACAATGCTAGATACAGTAAATTCTCAATTATTAGGAGCAGAAAAGTTCCCTTTATTTTGGTATTTCCTTTCTTGCACCACCACTGTCTAGTATAGAGCTGTGCATATATGCTTTTTGGATGAGTGAGGGACCTGTATGTTCACTGTTTATCTTCTACCTTCTACTTTGCCAGCCTGTTGGCCACTTTATTCCTCATTAATTCTTCCTCCTAAGGGCAAATGGGGAAGGGAAAGGAGGTAAACTTCAGGTCAGTCAGGCATGCTTAGCGACCCAAGTATTTCGACTCCAGTACGATAAACTTGAAAGACCCGTTCAAATTATTTTATGTCACTTAAGATTTTGTTCCATCCAATTGGTTGAACAGCCCTGTCAATTAAAGCCTGGATATTCTTGAGATTGATATTTTGATTGTTAATAGTTATTTTAACAGTATTTGATCTGTGTCTGAAGATTCTGTAGGAAGTTAAATTCACTGTAAGAGTCTGTCTGGAGAACAAAGGACAGGGAACTATAATTTGTTCAGTACCTATTACATGAAAGAATCTGAACTGTGCAGTTTACATTACTTATCTCATGGTTTACAACTACCCATGAAAGTGAGTAATATACCCATTTTATAGATGTGGAAACTGAGGCTTAGAGATACTCTGGCCAGTCTCTCAGTCTGTATGGAAAACCTCGGCTAACAGCCTCCAAAGAACAAGCCCTTTATAAAGGACGACTGGTGATTGCTGGCAGCTTTTACTAATCTGTGCTGTCCACACCTAACATGGGTACTTGAAAGCTGATCCTACGTTCCTTTCAAAAATCTCTAAGGAAGCCGGCTGCAGAGACTTCGTGGATAACTCATGAGAAACAAAATGCTTTTATGTGATAAAAACTCTATTTATCTCAATGGGGTTTTTTCTTCTTAAAAAAAAAAAAAAATCTACCACTAACAAGAACTCTCACAGAACGGACAAGTCTTCAGATTGGGCTGTGCACACTAACGAGGAAATGGTAACAGCATTATGGCACTTTGGCCTGAGATGTTAAAGAGACGATGTAATGAACAGCTGGGGATTTCTGAGGCACAATTGTATGACACATAAAGCCCAACTGTTGGCCATCCTCACGGAGGGCAGCTGCCGGGCTCGGGTTTACTTCAGCAAACCTCACTCCTCAACCTCCACCAGACGGGTTTCGCCAGCTGCAGCAGCAACCGCGACTGCTCGCCTTCCCGCCCCCGCACGCCCGCCAAGGCCGACTCGGCCCCGACGCGGGGGCGCGCGCCCTCGGCGCACGTGACGGGGTGAGGGGACAGTTTTCTTCCTCCCCTCCCCCTTCCCAAACCCCGCCTTCTCCCGAGGGGCTGCGGCTTTCTATTGCGCCACCGCCAGAATGACTGCCGTGCCAGCCAATCAGAACGCGATGCCTCAAGTAAGGCCCACCCCCTGCTGGTTCTCAGGTTCCTTCCCGCTCACACCGGAGTCACTTCCGAAGAGAGAGAACCGCCATGAAGAGAGAAGGGGGTGCCGCCCACCTCTGCTCCGACAGCCTCCCGGGGTCCCAGCAGCAAGACGGCAACCACGCACGCAACTTCTCCAGCCACAGCTCATGCCGCCATCGCCAGCGGCACCGACATGACAAGGCGCTGCATGCTCGCTAGGCCAGGTTTCCCCTCATCCCCAGCCCCGGGGTCGTCGCCCCCGCGCTGCCATCTGAGACCCGGTAGTACCGCCCCTGCTGCAGCGGGAAAGAGAACAGAGAGTCCTGGGGACAGGTACCGTGCAGAGGGCTTGAGAAGGGGCCGGGTCGCGGGGGCAAGGGTATGAGGGGAGGATTGCGGCGGCCGCTTTTCCAGTTCCCGCCATCCTTCGCGAGCCCGGGCCTGGCGTTCCCGGGCCTGGCAAAGCCTCGCCTCCGCGCAGGGGCTTCTGGGAGTTGGAGTTTCCTTTTCCGTAGTTGGGAAGCTGCTCGGTCTAGGGACCACCAGCCTGGATGGCTACGGAGAACCCGCCTTAGGTAGAACGTGATTTTTGACCTTTACGAGAGCTTAACTTCGGCCCTAACTGCTTAATGCATATTTAGGTTGTTTTTTCTGTACGTTCTCAGTTCTGATCCTAGTGGTTTAGTAGTATAAACCTTTTCTATACTGTAGGTGAAATTATGTAAGATGTGATGGAGGAAATCCAGACTTGTAGTCCAGTGTACTCGATAATTCATACTTAAAAAGAATATACAGATTTGGAATGTGATATGTTTTCTCTTTCAGCAACTTTACGCCTCTCCAAGAGGCCAGTTTTTTTGTAAAGATTTTATGGGAGCTATGTAATGAGATGGGAAGTTTCATCAAATGACATCCTCTGACAATAAAACATGTTTAAATTCTCTGCGAACTTGGTACTGTCTTTTTTATTTTAAGTTTAAAAGCTGTTAATAGTCTAATAGTAAATTCATGTTCTAATATTGTGGTACAGGTCCACAATCCATTATCTTTATTCTGAAGGCCAGAAAGCTATGAAAACCAAGTTTTCAGTAAGTTTGGCACCACATCTTAGCAACCAAATCTGGCCAGAACTAATGTAAGGGCTTTATCCCATTAAGTGTGAATATTCTTAAGTTTTGCTAGAGAAATATTAATGTCTTTGATTATGGGTTGCAGCACTGGACCCCACTGGGGCTTTAAATAATACATCCAAGTTATCGCCTCTCAAAAATCTGATAAATTCAGGATTATAAAACACATTTGGTCCCAGAAGTTTCAGATAGGATTTGAGAAACTTACACGGTTTTTTTTAACGAGTTACAAATAGGAAATGGACATTTCTGTGCATATGAACTTCGGGAACTATTACCTCTTAAGTTACATTCATGGTTATTTTACAGGTTTCTTATATGTTTTCTTCAAAACCAGTTTTCGCTTTCTGACGTATTAATCGAAAAGAAGCTTGGGATATAATATTTTAGGGAAGAGATGTAAACAAATGCATATGTTCTTCCATAGCCTGTCACTCATATTCATCTCTTAACCACTTAGTTTTTCTGCCAACATCCTAGACAAACATGGCGGACTCTCAGTACACCAGTAAAGATGTGCATTGCTTTTCTAACATGATCAGTAAAGTGTACAAGATGTAGAAGAAGCTTAACCTTCAGGGGACTTGGATTGTTCAAGTTTTCACTGAGCATTCCAACCTCATAGTGAATAATGTTTAGGGAAAGGGGTAGTCTACAGCTTATTCTCTTTCAGTAAAATGAATACATTTTAGCAAAAGTTGCCAGATAATTTCTTGTGCATGTGATAATATCCCCCTTTTTGAAGCTAACAATGCTAAATACATGAACAGATCAATACAAATTCTAGTAGTATGGTACTATTTCATTTTGTGTCCACTTTAGGGTACAGAAATCTTTATTTGGATTTTTGTTTGTTTTTGGCAGCTGGCAGTATGGGGATCCAAACCCTTACAAGGTTACAAGGTGGCACTCTAACCAACTGAGCTAACCAACTGGCCAGCCCAGAAATCTTTAAAAATTAAAGCAATTTGGTTTTTGTTATTTTTTACTTACTTGTTAACTTCCTTTTCTCCTTGTTTTGTGGTTTTCCCAGGCATGTGTTATTTTTGTAAATATCTTAAGGATTCTTACATAAAAAATTAAGAATTTGAAACACTACTTATTTAGTTGTGAAGGCTCTTTCCAATTTGTGCTTTTACATAGATTAACATCTTACTATAGTATATAAAGAGAGTGCAAAAACTTAGTATTTGATCCTTTCTGCCTTTGCCCAGCACACTCTTCTTCAACTGCCTCCTGAGGTCAGCCCAAATCAGCCATATTGCCATTCTACCATCTATTGTTCTACCGTTATTATGGAGTCTGTTCAAGTTTTTCCCCATTTTTATAATCTCAATTATTCATTAAACAAATATCTACTGAGTGTTATTTTGTACCAATCACTGGAGATATCAACAAACAGGATCAGATGCCTGTCCCCAAGAACTTCCGTTCTCCATGCAGCAGTAAGTGTGTCAGTCCTTAGAGGCACTCTATGCCAATTCCCTGGATCCATACTCCTGTCTTATTTTAGTACTGTAGATTATATAAACTTTAGCTGTGTTTTTATAAATGAACTCCTATAGGAAGTGATAAATTATATTTTTCAATTTTTTTTATGATCAGCTTAGCAAGTATTATTGACATTGTCAGAAATTGATTAAACCAGATAGTGAAATGCAGCCTATATTCAATAAACCTAACATTCTCCATTTAATCTGAATTATTGAGGCTTTGATATTTGCTTATGTGATACCATATTAGTTATGCTTTTATTTTCAGGAAGCAGTCAATTATAGATTTCTTCAAACCAGCTTCAAAACAAGGTATGTATACCGTTAATGAATTTTTTGTGGGATATTTTGGGGTGAGGAGAGACATGGATTCAACTTTTAAACCTACTCTAAACTCTAACTAATTTGATTAAACATAGTGTTCAAAATTGAAAATGAAGATGTAGTGTTTTTTTTTTTACAAAGATGTACTTAAGTTCTAAGCATTATGAAGAAAGACTATTTGTTGTTATGCCTTCTAATTTAAAATATTTGAGTCAATAATGTTCATAATGCGTACTATTTTGATTCTCTAGTACAGTAACTTACCTCATAAATAGAGCCATAGGGACATTACACAGTGTAGCAAAAGGGAGCTTTATGAAAGTAAAGCTGTCGACCTAAACCATGATTTCTCTTCCTCCCCTCCCAATAAAGTGTGTGTCATTATTCAAATATTATCAATTTGAAATTTTTGTGATAGCTTTAGTTTAATATTTTAAACAATAATTAAGATAAATATGTAAAATATACATTTGTGTTATTTTTAATAGTGTAATTTGTGTGTGTTTTAATTGGCTATTTAGGCAGGCATATGTTGGATTCTCCACAAAAATCAAACATCAAATATGGAGAAAGTGGATTTTCCATCGCTGGGACAGAGCACTTTGAAAGGAAACTATCTTTACCAAAAAAATCTGAACACAAAAGGGTGTCATCAGAAAAGAGCACTATTTTAGAAGCTTTCGTGAAAGGTGTTAAAGAGCACCATAAAGATCATGGTGTACATGAGTCACGTCAGCCTTGTGTCTCACTAGCCTCCAAATATTTATCCAAAGGAACAAATATCTATGTTCCTTCATACCACTTGTCAAAAGAGATGAAGACGCTAAAGAAGAAACATCGATCTCCAGAGAGAAGAAGGTCACTGTTCATTCATGAAAATAGCAGGGAGAGGAGTGATAGAGATCGAGGAAAGACCAATGCAGACTCCAAAAAGCAGGCTGCAGTGACAGATGCTGACATCTTCAAGATCAGCTCCAGAAGTCTTAGCAGCAGGAGCAGCCTATCCAGGCACCACCAAGCAGAAAGCCCTTTGGGAGCTAAGTTTCAGTTGTCACTAGCTTCTTACTGCAAAGAACGAGAACTAAAGAAATTGAGAAAGGAGCAAATGGAGCAGAGAATCAACTCAGAAAATTCTTTCTCAGAAGCAAGCAGTCTTTCCTTAAAATCCACTAGTATAGAAAGAAAATGTACACCAGGACAGCAACAAAGTAAACAGAACAATGTCATACCTGGAAAGAGTAATCTTTCAAACCTGGTATGTGCAATAATCACTGAATTAGCTTTTCTACTGCTATATCATATTTAGAATACTAAATCTAAAAATATCTAAAATTATTACATCACATTGGTATCTTTCTTTAAGGAAATACTGATACACAGTTTGTGTAGAAACTGGTTTCTTTAGGTTTCTTCCAATTGTCCTTCATTGAGCTCAGTAAAAAAGTGTTTCTTGCCTTTAATTTTTTCAGACCAGTAACAAAGATCTTTTTCTAATCAGGAAAGGAAGCATTTTTTTTTTTTTAGGCAGATAATAGTCATTTTGAAATCAGGTTCTGCTGAAGGGAGATACTTGAGGAATGGAAGATCTAAAAGAACAGGAAGTGGTTTAGAGCAGTGGTTCTCAAAATGTGGTCCCTGGACCAGCAGCATCAGTACAAACTGGGAAGGTGTTAGAAATGCATATTCTTGGGCCCCACCCCTGACCCACTGAAACAGAAACTGGAGGTAGGGCCCATATGTCTGCAATTAATAGACCTTCCAGATAATTCTGATATACTTTAAAGTTTGACAACCACTGGTTTAGATTGTACTGTATGTCTTAAATAAATGAGTATACGTCTTAGAAATCTTAGATAGTCACAACTTAGAAAACTGTCCAAATACATCTTAATGTCATCAGTTTTTTTTTTTAAATAGACCAAATTTATATTAGCATAAAAGCTGTCCATCTCCCGTAGAAAATCAATTTGTTAATTCCAAAGTGCCTCTCTACATATAGAGCAAACAGGAAGATCAGATGTCAAGAAAGTGCAATGTGAGAGACTAGCTGGTTAGCTCAGTTGGTTAGAGCATGTTATAAAACCAAGGTTAAGGGTTCAGATCTCTGTACTGGCCAGCTGCAGGGAAAAAAAAGTGTGGTGTTGATAAGGTGCTATGAAATCTTAAAACCAGATAGACCAAAAATAAACCAAACTATGACATTGTAGGAGTGAATAGAAATTATTGCATTGTGTGTTACTGGGAGATATGTTTGTAAACCCTAAGGCTCCTTTGCAAGGAATTTTGTGCCTTAACCAGTGGGATTAGCTAATGACCAATAGAGGTTAGAAATATTTGGTTCATTTTTTTAAGATTTCAGTGTTCGGTGGTACATCAGACTTTAAACAGAAGTGTTGAAAAGTGAGCTGTATTCACTTGATTGGCAAATATTAGGTTTGCTATTTCTTTATCAGAATAATACAGGTCGGATATCCCTTATCCAAAATGCTTGGGACCAGAACTATTTCAGATTTGATATTTTGGAATATTTTCAGAAAACATACTGACTGAGTGTCCCTAATCTGGAACTCCACAATCCAAAACGCAGAAAGAAAATGCTCATTGGAACATTTTCATTTTCAGATTAGGGATGCTCAGCCTGCTGTACAGTGTTCTAATATAATATCAATCTTGAGTTATTAGTGTAAATTTCTAATTTAACATTATGAAAACTGACTTCATTTTATGACTTTTTACATTTTTATCATACAAATGCCCTTCATTTTTATGATAAAACTTAAGATCTTTAAATATTTTGCTATAGAAGTTAGACTTTACCTCCAAATACAGATGCCTGATTTATTCAATCTAGAAATCTATGTTTAAGTGTTATGAAGAAAAGTTCATATTCTTTATACTGCTCCCAACTCCTAATTAATTTGTTCTCATTTTGCTAATAGGTAAATGGACATCTCTCAAGAAAAAGATCCTCTTCTGATTCATGGGAACCTACTTCAGGTACAATCAAAATTTATTCATTTCTAAGTAAATTTGCATCTTAACGGCACTGCTTATGCGAGCAAATTTGTTTAAATGCATAGTTCCCTTCCTAGAAGTGAATTTAGTGTCTTAGATTAAGAGTTTGGTAAAGTTATATTCAAAAAGAATAGTTCTTAAATTTAGTTTATGTAATCTGTGGTTTGTCTTAACTCTTCTTTGCCTCCTTCCTCCTTCAAGAGTTCCTAACAATGTGTCTCAGTGTTCTACTTGTGAATCCTTGACTACATCAAGAAGCATAATCTTACATTCCTGCAATTGACTATCTGAGGTCTTGGTGTTAAGTGGCAAATGCTTTTTATAACGTTGAAACTTATGATTCAAACAGTGTTTCCCAATATTTCAAATACAAAGATCCTTTTTTAATATCAAATTTCAAGGACATCTACAGGCTGTTAGTTTGTACTTTTAGTATCTATTGGTTGAGAAAATACCAGCCTATAGTAGTTCAGTAATTCTTGAAGTATCTTTCTTTTTTTTAACTAGAAAATAGAACATTAAAATTTAAACATTACAGAAATTTATAACACGTAAAATGAAAAGACCCCAGAAATAACAACTGTCCATAATCAGCCATATCAGATTTTTTTTTTTCTACTGTGACTACAAACTTTGGAAAATGGGCTTTACAACCAATAAAAAAAACCACATAATTTTAAAACTAAAAACAAAAAACAACAACAAAATGGACTTTACAGATTCCTACATTCAGTAAGATACATTGGACATAATGATAATAATAGCCAGTATTTATTGAGCACATACTGTGTGCCATGCCCTGTTCTATGTACCTTTATTTAATTAATTTGATCCTCACAACCTTATAATGTGATTACTTTTAGAAAACAAAAAACAGAGGTACAGAGAGACAGATTACTTTGCACTGAGGTGAATGCAAGAACAAAATATTATTAAGCTAGTTCTGCCAGTAGTAGGGGCTAGCTGGTGGTGTTACTACCAAGTTATTCAGCATTTGTTTTTTTCTCTGATAATGACTCAAGATTAAAAAAAAGATTCTCTTTATTTCCTGGGTTTGCAAATTTCATCAGTCATGACTGAAATAGTTTCATTTATATGATCCCATGTAGTAAAGTTTTGGGGCATTGCTTGAAAAAGATGCTTTCTGCCTATTTTCAAAGGCAGATTTACAGTGGTCATCTTCACTTATATTTTTATTTCTAATACTTTTGCATGTGTTTCATAATCATTACTAATTATAGCATTGTATTCTCATAATAATATACATTTATATTTCAGTTGACTAATGTCAACAGAATTTCAGTATGTAAAGGACATAAGGAGATTTTTCACCCTAGATAATATTAAGAATGCTTACTGTATCTGATGGCAAATAGACATTAAAAATCCACATGGTGGGTGGGGCCGGCCTGGTGGCGCACTGCTACAGTGCGCCGCTTGGGAGTGTGGTGGCGCTCCCGCCGAGGGTTCGGATCCCACATACAGACCAGCCGCTCACTGGCTGAGCGAGGTGCGGGCGCAACACTGAGGGTTGCGATCCGTTGCCAGTCACAAAAAAAGAAAAAAAGGGAAAAAAAAAAATCCACATGGTGGGCCGGCTCGTGGCTCACTTGGGAGAGTGTGGTGCTGATAACACCAAGGCCACGGGTTCGGATCCTATATAGGGATGGCCGGTTAGCTCACTGGCTGAGCGTGGTGCTGACAACACCAAGCCAAAGGTTGAGATCCCCTTACCAGTCATCTTTTAAAAAAAAAAAAAAAATCCACATGGTATATCTAGTTAACCTTATTACTGTTACTTTTATCAGTTGTGGTGGTGATATACATAATCATACAATCGTTAATTACATACAAGTTCAGGGACTACAGAAATGTTGGTATAGAGTAGTAGGCATTTTGGCTCTTTGGTCTTCCATCACCTTGTCCTTTGGCTGAATTCTGAGGTCAAATTTAATTCAGCCCTAGTACATTCATTCATTTATTTGTTTGTTTTTGCTGACTGGTACAGGGATCCAACTGTGGACCTTGGTGTTATCAGCACCACACTCTAACCAACAGAGCTAACTGGCCAGTTCCATTTCATAATTTATTAATAACCAATCTTCCATTAATGGACATTGGATTTTTCTTTTTTTTTTTTTTTTGTTTTGTTTTGTTTTGTTTTTATAAACTCAGTTCCTCTCATATCTGAGTATTTTATGTATTAATAGATATCTGAGAAACTATGAAACAGATATTTAGTCTACAGGCTGTACAAGGGGTGCAAAAAGAATCATGAAAATTTTGCAATTAATCTACTGCCCTAGAGAGCTTGTAAAAGGGGAGCCTTACCTGCATTACCAGTTCACTTTCCTCTAATTCCAGATGTTAAAAGCTCTTAGTAAGCTGACGTGTCCTGTCTCCTCCTGGATAAGTCCTAGATAATTCCTGAGCAAAGCAGGAATTTCTCCACATTACTAGCGTATTTAAATTGTCTGACTTCTTTAAGAAAATGGAACAAAACTCAAACTGGCAGCTCTGTAGCTTTTTCCCCATTCTTTAAGATAATAAGTATAACTATACCCCAAGTCTTCTCTTTTTTTAAAAAGTCATTTGATTTCTCATAATGTAAGTGACCCCTGTTCTTTTTTGTTTGTTTGTTCATTTGTTTTGTTTTTGGTGGCTGGCCTATACAGGGATGGAACCTTAGACCTTGGTGTTATCGGCACCACGCTCTAACCAACTGAGCTAAACTGGCCAGCCCAAGCCCTGCCCTTTTTTTACAAGACATTTGTCCCCAGAAAACTGAGTGGGCATGGAATGATTTCTTCAGGTAATGAGAGATATTTGTACAAGAACAGAGATCAGGGCATTTGTTTATTAATTGATTGGTTAATTTCATTTTTATAAATTGAATTTTCCAGATTATGTATTGATCAAGCTGTCCAAATAATAATTACATAACACTTGAGTTTGGTTTTTGGGGTTTTTAATCAAACTGTTGGGGAGTGGAGACTTTTGTCCATGTGCAGAAAATTTGATTTAGGGGAATTTGATTTTGAGAATACTGATTGTAACTCATAGAAATAGTGAATTTTTAATGAATAATTAATTTTAAAGAGTGGATTAAGGATATGTCACATCTTTAAATATAATACGAAGTTTTTTAAACTGGCTAACTTAAAAACTGGTTAACTTCACTTAAATGGCTATTAATGTGCTTCTGGTTGGGGCTCCTGATGAACATGGACAGCTTGTATTAGTTTCCTAGGGCTGCTGCAACAAAATGCCAAAACCAGGATGGCTTAAAACAAATTATTGTCTCAGTTCTGAAAGCTAGAAGTTCAAAATCAGGGTGTCAGCAGGACCGTGCTCTCTCTGACAGCTCTAATAGAGAATACTTCTTACCTCTTGTAGCTTCTGGTGTTTGCCTGCAATTCTTGGCATTTTTTGACTTGTAGCTGCATCTCTCCAGTAACATGACATCTTTTCTTTGTGTGTCTTCCCTCCGTGCATGTCTGTCTCTGTGTCCACATTTCTCCTTTTTATAAGGACACCAGTCATATTCCATTGGGACCCACTTTAATGACCTCGTTTTAATTCAGTTATGCCTATAAAGACTCTTTGCAGTTAAGATCACATTCTGAGGTACCTAGGGGTTAGGACTTCATATCATTTTGGTGGAAACACAGTTCAACCCATAACATGGCTAAAAGACTAGAGGGACATGTGGGAAAGAAAAAATAGTAATTAAATGCTAGGGGGAGAAGACTTGGGTGAATTTTTTTTTTTTTAGTGACAAATTAAAATTTATCTGCCTTCAACTAGCTATCCTATATGTGTTTTAAGGTACTATACATTTAGATGTAGAAGTGTTAATTTCTGGAACCAGGCAGTCCTAGGTCTAAAAAATATCCACTTTTAGGGGATGTGCTTTTAGAATTTTTTCCTTGGTACAAATATACAATTGTTTATGTTATAGGGAGTGATACCTGTAATTCTGTTAAGATAGTAAACTTTTAATAACTTTGGAATGAAAATGAGCACTTGTCATTAGTTTTAAATTTCTTGGACACCAGTATTTATCAGTTGACACATGATAGTATTAACTCTTTTTCCTCATTCCATATGTGGTAAATAATCTCAGCCTAAACTTTTAGAATTTAAACATTTTCTCAGGGTGTTCTAGATACTCACTGAATAAGCTTTACTAAAGTAGGAAAGTATACTTTTTACTGATCTGACAAAAATTAAATTTTAGCAGGCTCTAAACAGAATAAATTCCCTGACAAAAGAAAAAGGAACTCTGTGGATTCAGATCTGAAAAGCACAAGAGAATCTATGCTACCAAAAGCAAAAGAGTTCTTCCTTGAGAAGCGTCCTGATGGACCACATCAGAAAGAAAAATTTATAAAACATATTGCACTGAAGACACCTGGTGATGTGTTGCGCTTGGAAGATATATCCAAGGAACCAAATGATGAAACTGATCGCTCCTCTGCAGGCTTGGCACCTTCAAATTCTGGCCACCATTCTTCTAGGAATAGTGACCAAATCCGTGTGGCGAGTACCAAAGAGACTAAGATGCAGAAACCCCACTTACCTTTACCTCAGGAAAAATCTGCAATTAAAAAAGCTAGCAACCTTCAGAAAAGTAAAACTGCTAGCCCTGTGTCATCAAAGGAGACAAAACTTCTACCTTTACTTTCCCATGTTCCAAGTGCTGGTTCCTCTCGGGTACCATTAAATGCTAAAAATTGCACTCTTTCAGTTCCTAAAAAAGATAAAGAGCGTTCTTCATCTAGGGAATGTTCTGGGCATTCTACAGAATCCTCCAAACACAAGGAACACAAAGCAAAGACTAATAAGGCTGATTCTAATGTATCTTCAGGGAAAATTTCTGGGGGATCTTTGCGTTCAGAATATGGCACTCCTACAAAGTCTCCCCCGGCTGCTTTGGAAGTTGTGCCATGTATCCCAAGCCCTACAGCACCTTCAGATAAAGAGAGTTCAGGAAATTCCAATGTAGATAGCAATGCACTGAAAAGAAAACTAAGGGGTGATTTTGATAGTGATGAAGAAAGTTTAGGTTACAACCTAGACAGTGATGAGGAAGAAGAAACATTAAAATCACTGGAAGAAATAATGGCTATGAACTTCAGTCAGACTCCTGCAACTACAGGAAAGCCTCCTGCTCTTTCCAAGGGGCTTAGATCTCAGTCATCAGGCTATACTGTAAGTAGTTCTGTGATGTTTTTCTTTACTTGAAGAGGGAAAGATGGATTGATTAGTGAAAGAGGGTTGGGTTGTTAGAACTATTTTAAAATTTAATATTTATTACAGTTCATAATTGGACTGAAACTGGTATAATTCTTGTTTGGTAAATGAGTTTCCCATATCTTTAGTTTTATTACTGTAAATCAGTGGTCTCCAAACTTTTTTGATCACACACACTTCTATTAGTACAAAAACTTTTTGAGCATGTACCCCAATATATGTGTCTACTTATGGATTATATACATTTACCACTATAATAATAACTGTGTACTTTCTAAAGCATATGCAAAAACAGAATTTAAAGAAAGAAGAAAAAGTATTTTCCTACAGAAGTTATATAGAAGTGACTATAGACTAAGTTCTACTGGAGTTTCTATAGAAGTTCCATATAAATAGAAGTTCTATTATTTTCTTCCTGCACCCCAATGGATCACCTTGCACACCCCCTGCTTTGGAGACCACTGCTGTAAATGAAGGTAGAGTGTAGAAATGTTGTTAATTGTGGTGTGCAATTTTATTTATAAAATTCTTCATTCTATCTTGGGAATAAGCTGAATTAAATTTTAACATGCCTGTAAAATTTGGTGGGGAAGGTGTTAATATTCCAGTGTAACACCTAAAAATTAGTAGTGTGATTCCACTAACATAGAACTTTAAAGTAAAAACAGGGCAGCCATAGAGCCCTTGGGTGTTGGCAGTTAGATTCTGAGTCTAGCAGAATTTTATAAATAGTGCCTTTCCAAATAGATGGTAAAGTCAAATTGCCTGCAGTACAAAATACTAAATTTAAAGCATGATGGTGAAAATTCTCCTTTAAGAAAGGTATTATCCTGACCCAGAGTATTGAAGTAGAAAATAGTCTTTAGTACTTTAAATAACTTAAGACATTCTTGTACTAAAATACGTTATAAAGTATTTCTAAATCTGTTTTGTTTTAGGAACGTGTTCACAGTGGGACTTACACAAATACTTTAGAGCGTCTAGTGAAGGAGATGGAAGATACACAAAGGTTAGTTAACATCATGATTAGTTTGCTAAACTTAATATACTGCTTGTTTGTGTTGCTTACTTTTAATTTACCTTAAAAAAATTATAAGAAATTAGGGGCCGGCCCAGTGGTGCACTGCTACAGTGCACCACTTGGGAAGTGCGGCAGCGCTCCCACCGAGGGTTCGGATCCCACATACAGACCGGCCGCTCACTGGCTGAGCGAGGTGCGGGGGCAACACCGAGGGTTGCGATCCCATTGCCGGTCCCGGCCCAGTACGGGCGCGACACTGAGGGTTGCGATCCGTTGCCAGTCACGAAAAAAGACAAAAAAGGAAAAAAAAAAAAATTATAAGAAATTAGCATGCATTTTGTGGTAATACCATTAAAACAGTTCTTCTCTTGTCAATTGTGTTACAGATAATATGTGCTTTCTTGTTCATAGCCTGGCTCAAAAGATCCAGATTTTTATAATATGCTGCATTAACTAATATAAATTCCTTTCTGCTTATCACAATTAGTATCTAAATGATAGCTGAAATTCTTGATCGAAAGCACATGTAGAATGTTTTTATGTATTTTTTATTATGGTAAAATATATATAACAAAATTTATCGTTTTAACCATTTTTAAGTGTGCAGTTCAGAGGCAGTAAGTATATTCACAATGTTATGCAACCATCACCACCATCTAGCTCCAGAACTTTTTCATCTTCCCAAACTGAAACTTCATACCCATTAAATAATAACTCCCCATTCTCCCCTTCCCTCCTACCCTTAGCAACTACCATTCTCCCTTCTATCTCTATGAAATTGACTGTTCTAGGTACCTCATGAGAATGGAATCATACACTGTCTGCCCCTTTATGGCTGGCTTGTTTCACTTAGCATAATAACTTCAAGGTTCATCCATGTCATATCATATGTCAGAATTTCCTGCTGAGGGCCGGCCCGGTGGCACACTGCTACAGTGCGCCGCTTGGGAGCATGGCGGCGCTCCTGCCGAGGGTTCGGATCCCACATACAGACCAGCCGCTCACTGGCTGAGCGAGGTGCGGGCGAAACACCGACGGTTGCGATCCCGTTGCCGGTCCCGGTCTGGTACAGGCGCGACACTGAGGGTTGCGATCCGTTGCCGGTCACGAAAAAAAAAAAGACAAAAAGGAAAAAAAAAAAAAGCTGAATATCCATTGTATTATGTGTATAAAACATTTCGATTATTCTTCTTTGGATGGACACTTTGCTTCCACTTTTTGGCTATTGTGAATAATGCTGTTATGAACATGGGTGTACAGATATCTCTTTGAGACTCTGCTTTCATTTCTATTGGGTATATACTCATAAGTGGACTTGCTGGATCATGTGATAATTCTGTTTAATTTTTTGACGAACTGCCATACTGTTATCCATAGCACCTGCAGCATTGGATATTCGTACCAACAGTGCATTAGGGTTTTAGTTTCTCCACAACCTCACCAACACTTGTTATTTTCTTTTCTTTCCTTTTTTTTTTTTTTTTTTTTTTTTTTGATAGTAACCATCCTAATGGTTGTGGGGTATGAAATGGTATCTCGTTATAGTTTAGATTTGCATTTCCCCAATGACTAATGATGTTAAGTATCTTTTCATTTGCTTATTGGCCACTTGTATAGCTTCTTTAGAGAAATGTCTGTTCAGATCGTTTGCCCATTTTTAATTGAGTTGTTTGAATTTTTTGTTGTTTCCACAGGTAGAACTTTTTAAAATGTTTGTATGTTTACCAAGTCCAAGTTTTGAAACCAGCATAACCAGACGTGGTATTTCTACATCAGCGTTACTCTTTTGAGGGAAAGTTTAGAATTATGATGAACATCCCACCACATACACACACACATGCACGCGCACACACATACAGCAGTCAGAAAGTTGAGGATCATAATGATCCTAATGAAGTTTATGTGACTACTTGCAGACTGTTTTTGCTAATGAGAGGGGGAAAATATATTCCTGATTAAATCAAGAAGTATCCTTGAAACTAGCCCGAGAACTTCATTAAGAACTCAGCTGATCTGATTATATGGAAGTTGGTATATATGTATCTCAAACTTGATAACCAAGTAGTTAACTGTAGGAATTTTTCAGACAATACATGGGTCAAAAGTTTTCTCCTTTCTGAATTTAATTAGAGAAATTGTCTCTATTTTAAAATTCTTTAAGTGTTTTATGAATTCATGTGATTTGATGTGAATTCCGAAGTTGCTTATTTAAAATTGAATATTACACAGGTGAAAAGCAGAGGTGCTAGTTTGATTGGATGATTGACTCTTTCCTGTAGTGATAGAGCAGTACATTTACTGGTCATTTACTGTTCTACTATACTCATCTACTGTTTGGGGCTGCGGCTGGGAATATGATGATTTACTGGTCATTTACTGTTCTACTATACTCATCTACTGTTTGGGGCTGCGGCTGGGAATAAGAACCTGGGTTAAAATAACTTAATTTTGGAGTTGTGGACTGTGGAACTAGACTCTCTGGCTTTGAATCCCAGCTTCTTGCATTGCAAGCTCTTGCAAGTTACTTAGCTTTTCTGAGGGCTGGACAGTTAACCCAGTTGGTTAAAGTGCAGCTTTATAATCCCAGGGTGTCACAGGTCTGGATCCCCATACCAGCCAGCTGCCAAAAAAAAGAAATTAGCTTTTATGATGTCTGTTTCTTCATCTGTAAAATCGGTAATAATAAACTACAATATGAAGTTGCTATGAGGATTAAAAGATGCCTGAAGCCCTTAATACAGTGCCTGTTGCATATTAAGTGCTCAGTAAGTGTTAGGTGTTAGGATGATTATGACAATGACAGCTACTGCTGGTAGAAAGCCTAATTAACATTAGCAGGTTGTTGGTCTACTAGAAGTCAAATGAGCATTAAAGATTAGAAAGGATAATCAAATTTAGTGTTGTTTATTCTTTGCCATTTTTCAAGTGATTCGGGAAGATGATTCTTGAAGTCCTAGCTGTAAAGAAATATTTAAGTGATTTTTTGCGACAGAACTACTATTCTGATACCATACCAGGACCTGGGTAAAAGCCTAAGACTTAAAATAGACTTTCTGTGTTATTAGTGAAAATCATATATACTGTATTGAATATCATGCTGTATTTGGGAGACATGATTTGACCTATAGTATAACAAAATTTGTCATATAACAGGATACTTAAGGGTTTTTATTTGTATTGCTTTTAGATATAAACAGGGCACTTAATAAGTGTTTTTCTTGGTACTTCTTTTAGATATAAAGATTTTTTTATTTTTAGGTTAAACTTTTTATTATGGCATTCTTTCAATTAATTCTTAGGCTGGATGAACTGCAGAAGCAGCTACAAGAAGACATAAGGCAGGGCCGAGGCATTAAATCCCCAGTCAGAATCGGAGATGAAGACAGTACAGATGATGAGGATGGCCTCTTGGAAGAGCACAGGTACAGCGTCTTTTGTAATGTATATATGCCCTATTAAATTTTTACATTTTTTAGGGTTTTTTGTAAAATAAATAGGCCATTAATGGCTATCTACTTAGTGAATAATCTATGATGCATTTCTAATCCATCTGTGATGGATTTGAAAGGTAGATGTCAGGGCCAAATTACATCTTTTGTCTTTTCTCCTGGTTATTCTTTTTCTCACAGATACATTTAGTGGCTTTTGACTAACTAGCAAAAAGTGGGAAGAGCAAAACATACTTTTTCTCATACTTGTTTTCTAATCTGGGATTAACGTTGGCCCTAAAAAAAGTTTTCTTTGCACCCAATTTTTATGTACAAAACCATATACAGTATGGCTGTCTGGTATTGAATGACTTTTTTTTGTTTTTCAGGGAATTTCTAAAGAAATTTTCAGTTACAATTGATGCGATTCCTGATCATCATCCAGGTGAAGAAATATTTAATTTCCTCAATTCTGGAAAAATTTTCAATCAGTATACCTTGGATTTAAGAGACTCTGGTTTTATCGGACAAAGTGCTGTAGAAAAGCTTATTCTTAAGTAAGTAGAAAAATAGACATTTTGCTTTTTTCAGTATAAAAAAATATCTCTGAAAGACTTCTGACCAGTGTAATCTTCTAGAAGGCTAATTTCTATTATGACCTATCTAGTTTCCTACACTTATTACTATTGTTCTTTCGGTTTTCTTATTTAATTATAGGAAACAGTATAGGATAATTGTTTGGCACATTACGTGCCTTTATTAGAATTAAGACTTGTATATAATAACAGTGACCATCACGGCCGGCCCTGTGGCGCACTCGGGAGAGTGCAGCGCTTGGGTGTGCAGTGGCGCTCCCGCCGCGGGTTCGGATCCTATATAGGGATAGCTGGTGCACTCACTGGCTGAGCGTGGTGCGGGCGACACCAAGCCAAGGGTTGCAATCCCCTTACCGTTCACAAGAAAAGACAAAAAAAAAAAAACCCAGTGACTGTCAAAATAACCGGGGCTTAAACAAGAAGTATGTTTCTTCTCATGTGAAAGAAGTACAGAGGTAGGAAGTTCAGAGCTAATGTTTTGGTTTCACCATATAATCTTTCTTCTTCATTATTCTTAGCACTTTGTTGTTCCAGATGCTATTGGAGCTCTATCTAGCCTTTATGTTCAGATTCCCAGAAATCCCACACAGTATTTGTACTTACAGTTAGTTAGGTGGAACTTAGCATGGCTACCCCTAGCTACAAGGGAGGCTGGGAAGTGATCTTTATTTGGGCAACCAGTGTGCCCAGCTAAAAATCAGGGTTCAGTTACCAAGAAGAAAGGGAAAATACGTGTTGGGATGGACAACTAATAATCTCTATCACAATGCCCAGGCTGTTCTTATTTCTCTCAGTGCATGATATCTGAGTTCTTCACATTAATTCTGGTGCTGAGTTTTAGGAAGTATATTCTCAACCTGGCAAAAGCAGATGATGTCCTGGGACTTGATAGTTTTTCTCTCACAACCTAAGCATTTCCCTGCATGTACTACTGTAAGATAGTTTTTCTCTCAACATTGCCAGCAAATATAGCTTTGTCCACCAGATAAGTATGGAACCAAGCCAACAGACTGGATCAGCTTTAGGCCATCAATTGAATTTCTATTATGAGTAGCCCATCCGTATTTGTGTAAAATACACCTCTATAGACTGAGGATGATTTGCTTGCTTATTTCCCTAATTATGTCAGATGTGGTCGTGGTGGTGGTGGTAGAAGTGTTTTGCCATCAAGGTAAAAGTCATATTGATTTTACTTTATTTTTTCAGATCGGGAAAAACAGATCAGATTTTTTTGACAACACAAGGTTTCCTTACCTCTGCTTATCACTATGTCCAATGTCCTGTACCTGTGTTAAAGTGGCTGTTTCAGGTAAGAGAAATGTTTGGGGGATTATAGTTGCCTCCTACTGTATTTCCCCAAAACAGACTTTTTAGATATAATTTTATTCACACATTACTGGAGAAAAAATTAATCTAGCACATCAAACCTATGATTTCATTGGGTTAGAATGAAGCAAGAGTCAATGTAAAGTGATTATAAAGGAAGTAATAATGCAGGTAGTGTACAGGATGGTCAAAATGTTAGTTGTGCTTGAGACATTTCATCACATTGGTAAATCAGTATTGTACTCGTAGTTAGTGTTAGAAGGGGTCTTCTAATGCTTACATACCTGAATTTCTTTTTAATGTTTTTTATGTTTATGGGTACCTATATACATTTTCAGGATTTTAATTGCATATTAATATTTCCCTATTCATATATATATATTTTTTAATGCAAATCCAACTATTTCTTTTTTTGATTCATATTTAACAAATCCACTTAAATAATTCTCTTAACTTTTGATTTATTTAAGTGGTAACTTTTTAAAGATCAGTGGTATCATTGATTTTATGTATACAGTCCTGGTGTTACTCTATATACTTTGGTCCTTCAGGCAGAAAACATCATCAACATAGAAGTTTATTACTCGACATTTATATCATCCAGAAGACACCATTCAGGATTAAATACCATGTGTGCTGGCAGAGCCAGGAGGCTGTGAACAGGGTTTTTTCCACTACACTAAGTTCTGTATTGACAAGTACTACAGTAATACCCGGTTAGGTTGGAATTATCCTCCTTCCTTAGGCAAGAAGGATTGTGAATAACAAAGGTATTCTCAGGTTACAGGAGTATTCCACTTTAATAAAATCCTAAATGTATGAAAAATATACATTAGGGGGAAAGGATTCATAATATAAAAGAACCCTTTACAGTAGGTACATGTTTGCCCCAAAAATCACATTTAAAAAAGAAAAAAAATATTGTGTTAATGCCAGAGAACTGTAATTATTATATAGGAAGTGAGAAGTGGGAAAAATATAGGGAGTTTCTACTCTGGGCTTTAAGGTAGTATTTCAAGAAATCTCATTTGGCAAGAACTGGAAAGATATTCCAGTACAGTCTTTTATTCATTTTTTCGTATAGCTGGCATTTTTGAGTGCCAGCTGTGCCATGCAGTAGAGAGAACAGCAATGAAAAAATCAGTGTCTCTGATCTCATGAAGCCCACATTCTAGTGTAGAGGAGACAGACAATAAACAAATATGTGTGTATGTGTACACATTTATAAATATAATATGTCAGATGGTATATGCTATGAAGAAAATTAAAGTAGGCTAAGGTAGATACAGGAAATACCAGGGTGGGAGAGAAGTTTTGCTTTTTTTTATATGTAAGGTAGTTCATGAAGGCCTTTCTGTTAAGATGAGATTTGAGTAAAGGAATAACTGCTTGTCATTGTTACTCCTGAAGTGCCCCCTTTCCTCCAGTAAATGGACATATGCTCCAAATAAGGTCTGTCTTACCAACAGTTTCCGGTGAGACTCTTAGACACCTGTCCTACCCACACATTTATATTTATTACAACTCAAAATTTGCTGTCAAGCCAGTGCTTCATTATTCTCTAATTGTATATATCTGTTCTTAAACTTACAAGTAAGACTTTGCATTTATCTATATTAATTTTTCTCTTATTGATGTGGGCCCATCATTATAGTCTTTAAAACCCTGATTATAATATACAAGGCTATCTTCATGTAAGTAGTTTTTTATATTCTTCATATTTATTCTTGAAAAACCAAACTAATAATTGTTCATTAAGCATTTTGTCTGTGTAAGACACTGTCTCATTTCTCCTTTTCAATTCCAAGTTCATTTTTATGGTGGAGAGGCTTTACCAACTTGTAAGTATTTTTTAGAAAGTATGTCAGAATTCATTTAAATGCTGTAGTCCTAACTAGTATTTTGTAAATTTAATTGTTAAAATGTAATAGAAGAAGTATTTGCATTTTTGTGATTTTTATGAGTGTTTAAATGTAGTAGACCAGAAAGAGCTTACTACTTTTTCTTTTTTTTAACCTTTATCAAAGGGAATTCATGTTTCATTGTGCCATGTTCAAGTAAAATAGAAAGGATAAGATTTTTAGAAAAAGAAGGCTAAACTCCTCCCAACCCCTAATTTTCAGGAGCTGTTCCATTTTGGTCAGTGTTTTCTAGATTGTTCTCTGCATACAAAAGTTGCTGTGTAACTTAAGATAAACAGAACATGGGAATATGTTTAATAACTTGTTTATTTCAGATAATGATAAATTATTGAGTATTTTTATTGATATGTTATAATGCTTTTAATGGCTTTATACTATTTTTTGGTCAGGCTATACCATGATTTAACCCAATCTCAACTGATAGGTATTAGATTGTTGTATATCCTTCTTTTTTTTTGGCGTCTGGCCAGTATGGGGATCTGAACCCATGACCTTCGTGTTATAAGGCTGTTGTGCTCTTCCCAACTGAGCTAACCAGCTGACCCTGTATATAATTCTTTAAACATTTATTAATTTGAAATTAGCGTATTGCCCACCCTGGAATTTATCACCCCCCATGAAAAATTATCATCAAAACCTTGTCTGTGAACGGTTCTGCCTCCTAGTGGCAGAGCTTCACAACACAGGCATCATAGCAAAAAAATTTTTTCACACAGTTTTTGAAGTGACACAAGCCATATGCCTAATTGAAAGCAGAGTTTGGGTTATTCCTCCTTACAGTTTAGATTTAAATTTATTATAATCATAATCTATGGCTCCTAAGGAAAAGAGAAAGATAGCAATAGAAATACAATATGTGTTTCTTTACAAACCCACTTTAAAATTACTTTCATTATGTTATATGATTTCTAAAAAAAATTTTTTGAGATTTTTGTTTCCAAAAAATTGTCTTGTAAAAGTAATATTAATCATTTGTCTCTGCATCTAAATTCCTGTGTGTGAAAAGGCTGTTTAGATCAAAGTATAAGTACAATAACTTAACATAAGCATTACCAAATTACTTTAAAATTTTTACCAAATTATACTTACACTAGGCATAATACTGCTTACCTCTCTAGTACTTTTGTGAATACTGGGTACCATCAATATTCTTGATCTTTGCCAGTTTTGATGTCAACTAATGATATCTTGTCATTGTTTTTCTTTGCATCGTTTTGATTACTATTGATATTGAGCATCTTTTAAAAGGTGTATTGTATATTTGTTTATTTGTATGTTATCTTTTCTAATTTTTTTTACTAGTTTGTGGTTTGATTTTTGTTTATGATGTGATGAGTCTAGCAGCTTTTTCCGTCTGGTTTTTTGGTTTCATGTCATGATACATACTAGAAAGGCTTTTTTTTTTTTTTTTTTTTTTTTTGATGTGTATGTTTGTATGCATGCATGCATATACTCATGTCTCTAACATTAGCTACTATATAACAAGCATTTTATAACCTCTTTGCTTCTAGTTCTAGCAATAATCTACCAGTAGGTTATTTCTATATACAGTTTATTTACGTAGTACACTACAGTTTCTTTTTTTCTTGTCCTTTCTTTTGAGACCGGCCGCACCGCGCTCAGCCAGTGAGCTCTGTGAGCGCACCGGTCATCCCTATATAGGATCCGAACCCGCAGTGCGAGCGCTGCTGTGCTCCCATGCTCCCAGCACCACACTCTCCCGAGTGCGCCACGGGCTCGGCCCAGAAAGGCATTTTTTTGATAGTTTCGAATGTTATATTTGTCTAATTATAAATGCAAGTTGTAAAAACAAGCAGAATGTTAGAATGGAAAGAGCCCAGACTTCAGAATCAGACCTGGATTTAAATTCCACCTTCTCCAATGTATCACATGTAGCACATTGGGTAGGGTATTTAATCTCTCTGAGTCTATTTGTTCATGTGTGTAATAGTACCACTTGATACATTTATTTTAAGTATTAAATGAAATGCACATAAAACATCTTTATATGTGCCTAGCAAATAGTAAATACTCATGTTTTCTTTCTTTCAAATACCCTACCATTCATCTACTTTTGACAGATGATGTCAGTTCATACAGACTGTATTGTGTCAGTGCAGATTTTAAGTACATTGATGGAAATAACAATTAGAAATGGTAAGTATATAAATTTACTGTGATTTACAGCATGTATTATTGGTTGCTATTTATATGGTCTCTTTCATTTTGCTAAATGTTAGTATTTTTGGAAATATGGAATAAAAATTATTTTTGTAATCAAGACTTCAATAATGAAATGAAACTCCAATGAAAAGTGAGTATCTGCATTTTTCTAGTTGCATTGAGAAAAAGGGTATAAGATCTTGCAAGTGGCAATCCTTACCTAATATTACCAAATTATGGCTTTGCTGGGTAAGTGGAAATAGTTGCAGGTTTATTTATTTAGCCAGTTAGTTTTATATGGCCTGTTTGTGAGCAACAGTATTGTAATGATAATGCACTAAGGCAGATTGAAAGCATTAATTGCAAAAGTGTGGCGGTTGATTTCCCACCTTTGACAGCTCTTATAATAAAAGAAGCATTGTGGTTTACCTGTTTCATCTGTTTTAGGGTTTTGAGACTATAAAGACAATGAAGACAATAAAGTCTTTGTGTTATCAGTAGCTGGGATTTACCATTGTTATTTCCAGTTTCAAAATGTATTATTCCGGGCCGGCCCGGTGGCGCACTGGATGGTGCGCCGCTTGGGAAGCGCGGCGGCGCTCCCGTCCGAGGGTTCGGATCCCATATACAGACCGGTTCCCGCTCGCTGGCTGAGTGAGGCGCGGGAGCAACACCGAGGCTTGCGATCCCGTTGCGACCGGGGGCAGCACTGAGGGTTGCGATCCGCGACTTGACACGGAAAAAAGACAAAAGACAAAAAAAAAAAAAAAAAAAAAAAATGTATTATTCCTT